CATCCTTGACCTTCTGGCATTCCCACCCTGCTAATCCTTGATCCTTAACCCTGGGTAACTTCTACCCTCCACTGCCTCCACACTGGAGAGGCCCAAACAAAACCATGCTTTCCCCCAAAACTGCCTTTCCTTTTCGATTCCCCATTTCTATTGATAGCACCACCATCCTCCTAGTTTCTGTTGTTGGTCAGTCGTTTTTCAGTTGCGTACAACTCCCTGTGACCCCATTTGGGGTTTCCTTGGCAAAGATCCCGGAGGGGTTTGCCATGTCCTTCTCCAGCTCATTTGACAGATGAGAAAACTGAGGCAAACAGGGTGAAGTGACGTACCCAGGGTCACACAGTTGGTAAGTGTCTGAGGCTGGGTTTGAACTCATGAAGATTAGTCTTTCTGATTCCAAGCCCAGTGCTCTGTACACTGCACCACCTAGCTGTCACAATCCTAGCTGTTCTGTCTCATAAACTCAGAATCATCTTAGGTGCCTATCTATCTAGCTCTCTTACTCCATCTACCCACCCCTTACCCCCTTATCCAACCAGCCGGCAAATTCTACGGACCCTGCCTTGGTAATGTCCATTTTACCATTCCTCTCCTGTATATTGCCACTGCAATTGAGGGAACCATCGTTCAGACCCTCATTGAGTATTATAATAGCCTCCTATACACATACATGCCATATTTAAAATTTTTATTAAGTGCCTACTATACACAGCTAGGAACTGGGAAAGATTAAAAAGTTTGGGTATGGCCTAATCTCTACCTTCAGTGAAATTATAGTCTAGCAGGGGGATAAGACACCAACATAAATAGCTACAACACATCATATTACAGAGTGAGTCCATTAGAAAATTATAAAACACTGCTATGTGAAGGTTGTTACCAACTGGAAGGACTATGGAAAGCTCAAGAGAGAGAAGCATTTGAGTTGGAATGACTTCAAAGGACAGGTAGGTATGAAAAAGATGAGGAAAAGGGAGGAAGGATATTCCAAGCAGAGAAAACAGTGTGATTAAAGGCACAGAGTAATATATATGGGAAAATGGGGTGAAAGCAGATTGTGGAGAGCCTTGAATGCCACACAGAGGAATATGGGCTTTAATGGGTAGGTGATAAGGAAGCATTGAAGATTTGTGAGCAGAGGAATGACATGACCAGATCCATGCCTCCGAAATGAGGTATGAATTCTTGAACCTGATATTCAATGCCCTCTATAATCTAGCCCCACTCTGCCTTTCCAGCCTTATCTCATATAATTCCCTTTTTTATACATACAGGGTGTCCCAAAGGCCCTAGTGTATTTATTTTTTTTTTTTTGCTTGAATAGCTTCGATAGCTATTAAATAGCTTTTAAGGACAGCTAATAGATAAAATAGTTTTTAAAATGCACTATGACTTTCAGGATACCCTGTATACTCCATATTCTAATCAAACTGGAGTACTGTCTGGTTTTTGCTCTCCACCCTGCCTTCTCCTAATTCTATCTTTGCTCACAAGCTCCTCCAATCCTGGTTTGGCATGTCCCCATCCTTTGTATTCATCTGTTGAAATTCCTACTTCACAGGGTTGTTGTACATATCAAACGAAACCATCTCTGTGCAGAATTCTGTAAGCACAAAGCACATAAACAAGAGTGTTTATGATGTGGTATTCTTCCTTGTTTTTTCCTCAGAATACCTTTGTGGTTGTTGCTTCCAGCTGTTTACAGAGGTGTTGACAAGAGCACTCCACAAAGGTAAGTCAATTAGCCACTGCTCATGTGAGGCAGCAGCATAGATACAACAGAGAACCATAAGGAGGAATTGCCATTGGGGAGGTTGAGATTTTAACCAGTAGGCACAGACAAAATAAGTCCACTTTTCTAAATAACAGACTACCTGCTGCAGTAAGCTGGGAAGAGTGGGGACTTCCCAGGCATGTTCTTGGACAAAAATAAGCAGAATGGTCAGAAAGAAAGAGATTGCCTCGCCAACCAAGTGGGCTTCAGGCTACAGCAATTATTAGAAGGGGGCGGCCAAGGAGTAGTTTCACCTTGGCAACAATCAAACCAAGGTGGCCACAGAAAGTCAAAGATTTACCTCATCCCCAAGAAGGCCAAAGAAAGAATGAAAGGTTCCATACACACCAGATACTCACTGCACAACTTTTTTTTTTTAATCGACAAAGAGCTAGAAGCAAAGTAGATAGCCATCAGCTAAATAATTTATGGTATGGGAATGTAATGGAATATTACTACACCATAAGATGTAGTATATGTGAGCCGTATGATTAGGGTGAATACAGAGAAGGGTGGGGACACTTTCTGCAAAGTAATGCTTTGCACATAGTCAGCCCTTAATAAATGCCTTATGCATTTATTCAAGAAATTAGAACCAGGAAAACAATATTTACAATGATTATGACCATGCAAATAGAAAGAATAAGAAAAGCAAACAAAAAAATGAGAGTGGAGTAAGTGTAATGACCAAACCTGGCCTGGAAGAAGAGGTGAGAAAATATACCTCCCTTTCAAATTTGCAGAGGGGGACCACGGCACCTATCACCACACTTGTTTGTTCTGCTGAACTCATTTTTTTTTCTCTGTCTTTTTTGTTCTTTTGTTATAAAGGATGGTTCTCTGTGTAGGACAGGCATAATTTTGTAAATGAAGGTGATATGGAACCAAAAGGAATCAATTTTAAAAGAGAAAAAATTGCTTCTTCCCAAAGATTTTCCTGCTGTCATGTTCATAGCCTTGATTAATTGCGGTAATGTTGGTTAGGGGCCCCGAAATAGGAGAATGATTACTGAACTGAATGGGCTTCCTGCTTTGGTTCCAGAACAAGATCTCCCTTGAATAGCATCCATAGGTTTGGGATTCTTTCTAATAAGAGCGTGTGGAATTGGGGTCGCAATGGAATCAGGTCTCACCTATTTCCTTTCCTCTCCTCGAATTTGTTAAACTTTACAACGAAACGATTCTGCTGCTTCCTGGAAAAGCAAATAGCCACGAAGGAAGGGAAGGTAGGGAAGAAAGGAACACAATTGGGTGGAGTTGGGAATTTGAATCTTGGCACGACTTTTCTAGGTTTTCTCTCTCAATTTGCATCAGTTCCTTTTGGCCCTGATGTTATCTCAGTTTTCCCAGGACAGAGAAAAACCCCACAAAACTTGTATAGAGCATTCACCTACATGCCTCAACTGAATCCACACTGAGACTGCAAGTGATTTACTCAGGCTTAGGGTCAGGCAAGGCAATGTGGGACAGGGCAAAGACCAATGATGTGGGAATCAGAGGGTCTGGGTTCAAATTCTGGGCTCTGACACTTCCTACTCATGTGACCCTGAACATGTGATTTTTCCCTTCCCTATAAAATGAAAAGGTTGAACTAGATGACCTCTAAGGTCCCTTCAAGTTCGAGATCTAGGGGTAAATTAGGCAGCCGGCTTGGGTACAGAAATGCCTTGTCCTGCTGGTCTGACCAAGCGCCCTAAGGAAATTCCACTCCTCCATCTGTCCAAAGAAACGTAAATGAAGGGAGGAAGTGTGTGTGTGTGTGTGTGTGTGTGTGTGTGTGTGTGTGTGTGTGTGTGTGTGTG